GCCATCACTCAGAACTTGGGGACAACTAAAGCTGCTTATGAGGGAGAGATATGCACCTCAAATGCTATCCCAACCAGGTCAAAATACTTACCCCTCAAAGGAACCAAGTCAAGAGAACACAACACATCAACGTGTTAGTTCCAATCAAAACGCGGATATATCACCCGCCAAGGTAAGTACCACAACTTCTAAACTTAATGTTTATCAACAAGTTAACCACGTGATACACTTGCTTTCATCCAAGAAGAATGAGAAAGGTACAGGTGAAAAGGAAGTGTCGACTCCAACACCTTTACTTAAGCCGCAAGATAAACCCGACCAAGGTAAGTCCTCTAACTCTTTAAAATCAAATGCACCGACATGTTATAGATGCCATAAGAGAGGTCATTTTGCTGCATCATGTCCTGAACGACATGTAGAACTTATCACATCAATAGAGTTAAAACCAAATGCATCAAACTTAGATGATTGTCTAGTGAAATCAAGTTTAGAAATTCTCAATTCTAGATTAATGCGTTTGTCTTTGCCAAAGGTTATTGATGCAGGACTAAGTCATATGATGGATGACAAGGATGAAGAATTTAACAACCATGTAGCAACTCCAAGGGAAGTGGAGAATGACATAAGCCTTAAGGAGCAACTTTCGGAAACAACGTCATCACAAGTTTGCGAAAATGAGACGTGTGAGCAAGCATTTGTTGAAGCACGTGTGAAGGCCCAACTATGTTCAACATCATCTGATCTTGCTTAAAACATCACACTCATTAAGGTTGAGTTCATACCAAACACCTTAAATGGTATCCTAGTAAGTGAAACCTACGATCTTGTTCGATATTGGAATAATTTAATAATTAATCGTAGCTTCAAAGACTTTGTTTTAAATGATTATATTTCAAGTATAATGCACTTGATTTTATTCTTAAGTGTCAAGAAAGATACAGGTACCATAGAAGAGTATCATGATGAGCAAGAGACCACATCCCAAAGGATATTGAATGTGGAGCAAACGGATAAACTAGCAAAGAGTGATAACATGCATCCAAATCAAGAGGTTAAGATGTGTTTACCAGCTACTAAAGATGATGAAGTTAGCACCAACAACATTCAAATGCAAGAAGAACCACCGGACCAGTCATCAAATCAATCAACCTTGATGATTTTGAAAGATACACTCACCGAAGAACCATGTCAAGTAAGTAATCCATTCTTTCGATTTATTTTTAATAATTTGAATGATGTGAGTATGAACTTGTTAAGCTTTAAAGAGTGTGACAAAAACGTAGGTCTCTTAAACAAATCTATGGAATTAGTTTCTTGTTTTAAATCATATCGATTAGTTGATTCACTTTGTAACCTACTTATTGATACACTTTATGAAAAAGAAATGGTTCAGCCGATCCTTGTTTTATATGTTTATATTGGTCCCATGACTGTATTAATGCACTTGTTCTGTGTCAAAAGTGTCAACAACATTGCAGGTAAAAATGAGGATCATAAAGGCGATTTACCTAAGCTGAAGAAACGCTTGAATCAAAATCAGACCCGGAGTAAGCCAACGCCATTGGTTATTAGACCATCCCTAATGGAGACTAGGAGAGTCCCAAGTTATTTCTTAATCAAAGAGGAACCGCCCGATTTCAAAGCTCAATCAAAAACCCGAGAAGGAGCTAACCACGTTACACCATCAACCATTGTACTAGATCAAAACCGAGGAGTGATCTTTACTTTCTTGCTCAAAGGAGAGCCACTGAATGCACCATGCATCATGAAGACAGAACAACACCAAGGTAAGACATTGAACTCTCAAAATCGCATGAAAGCTAACTTGCTTTCTCTTGGTGCAGATTGTACAGTTTCGAGGTCGAAACTTTTTCAAGAGAGAGGGTATGATGCGGACATCAGAACTAGATCAGACCAAGAGCACACCAAACTGGTCTACATGGAGAATTTTGGAGAATCTTTGTCTAAGTGGAGTTCTGATCAAGTACAAGGTGAAGGGTTAATTATTCACCATGATATTAACCCTAAGAAGTCCGACAGTTCAAGAGGGATCAAAAATCAGCAAGTCAAATCACCTTATTATTGGGATATGACTGTTGCACTCTTTTTCCCTTATCTAGGGTTTGTCCCAATGGGTTTACCTAGAAAGGTTTTTAATGAGGCAACATCAAGTCATCAAGGAATCATTCACCATCCATATGATTCAAAGATGATAGCTGATGTACATTCTGATCTACTCGCGGACAAGCATGCTGAACTACTCGCTGACCGACTGCCTGAACTACTCGCTGACCGACTGCCTGAACTACATCACATTGCGAGCTGTGAGGATTTAAAGGCTTTTAACACTTGGATCCGCCATGAAGGTAGCCCACACAGTCATTTGATTCACTACAAGGCCCCAACCCATGGAGAACATCCCAAGAGAAGACCCAAGTCCAAACCACCCTTTGAATCAAGGTCGTTGATCTACTTAGAGCGATATAAGGAAACTATCCTTTACTTTGATTTGGACGTGCCCCAAATTCATATATGGAAACTAGGTGAATATCTAGACCACACAAGACTTGTGCAACACGACATTTGGTACACCTTTGCACACAAGAACCCGATGAGTCACTACTTACCATCCATGGAGCCAAAGGAGATCAAGGTGCAAAGACTCCTTCCTTATTCACTTATGCACGTCTTGAGGCTTCCTAAAATGAACATAGACACTCCAAGGAGTCATGGATTCGCCCCCAAGCTTTCAAGACTCAAGACATCTCTCTACTTGCCTTATTTTGCCGATT